TACATCTATGTTTTAAATTTTAAACTATATCTACTAATTTCATATTATATTTCATTTATTCTTGTAGTAATTTTATAAAATTAACTTTCCTGTAAATTGCAAAATTCTTTACTTGAATATTAATACATTTTATTAAATTAAATTTAAAATAAAAATAAAAAAGTATTAAAAAAATATTAAAGTACTAAAAATATTAATACTAAAATATTGGATTTGCAAAGCTTGTAAAAACTTTGTTGAGTATTCTATAAAAAGTTTGATAATAGAATTTTATAGTTAAATTTATCTGGAATTAATCTTTCTTAGACAAAAATTGTGTATCTAAATTATGAAAGTAGTTGTATTCCCAAAACTAAAAAATGTAATTTTTTCACATAGTGAAAAATTGATAATATAAAATTTTACTCTCATGGATTTAAAGACAAACCTAAAAGCTAAATTGTGGTTTTCAAAAACTTTCAAAAATATAAAAATTTCTATAATACTATTTTACATGAAATTTTATCTAGACTTCGTCTTTCTCAGACTAACATTGTACATCTAAGTTATAAAAATAATTAAATTCACAAAACTGAAAAAATGTAATTCTCTTCATCTTCATTTAACAACAAATGGTATAAAATTCGTAATAAAAATCTTACTCTGAAAAATTTTGTTTCTGGAAAGTAAAATAGTTAAAACAATTATTTTCCAGTTTTTTGTTGTAAATTTATATAATTATAGACACCAAAGCTACTATAATATATTTGTTACCTAACAGTTTCTAGCCATCATAAGGCAATCATAAATCATAAAACCTTGGTATTTTTCATACAAATGCATTTATTATAAATTAATATATAATATTAAAATTGTCAACAATTGTTATAAACAATTTTCTCCATCTAAGCGAATCTATTCAACAAACTGATAACTTTTGGATACAAAAGCTTATCAGCATCTTTTCCCCAAGTGAAATCCAAATGGTTCCATTTCGGATCCGAAACCTTGAATTTGCCCAAAGAGTTTGCCAACAGGTTGTGCAAAATATCAACATCCTAAATAAAAAAAATAATTATACCAATTGGATTGGATCATTTGATTTTATTTTGGATTTTACCTTTGGATTTGCCATCCAGTCGTTGTCACTGTAGTGCAAAGCTACAGGAGCTGTGATTTTTTTCAAATCGTAGTCTGGTGGACTTGTTTGGTTGTATTTTTTCAAATTTTGGAACCAGCCGAAGTCGAATTTGCGGAATTTAGCTAAAAGTAAAGGATTTACTCAATAAAAATATTATTTGGTTGACCTACGGTGCATTTATAGTTTGCATTGTGTGTAGATCTTAAACCGTTTGATGCTAAATAATATGAAAGATCGAATTCAAAGTCGTTTTATTCCAAATTTTTATATCGGAGTGTATATAACTGTTGGCATGGAATCGTAGTAAATTTTATCTAGTTTCTCCTTATCTAATCGAAAAGGGGTGCTTTTATATGATATTTGTGAATTATTTGACAAAAACCAAAAAATGACCCGAATTTTCTATTTATTTCCAAAGAATAATAAAAGATCGAATTCAAACTGTTCACACGGAATCGTAGTAAATTTTATCTAGTTTCTCCCTATCTAACCGAAAAGGGGTGCTTATGTAAATGGTGTGCGATGAAAATTTGTTTAAAAATGATGTATAAATTATATTTGTCTAACATCACAAAGACCTACAGCAACTTGGTGTACTTTAAAATTACTCCGAATTATGATAAAAGTATTTCCAAAATGTCTTTACCTGAATTGGCTTCTTGTCCATAGTGGACCAACTGTTTTGTAGATGCACCAGCTGGTGTATTTTGGAGAATTGCTGGTAAAGCAGTCTGTAAACAGATGAAATCTATATTTATAAAAGTTTCTGATAACTTGTTGTTAAAAATATTGGATTTGTTTGAATAATTGGTAAGGTGTTGACCAACTTCTTGAATGAAAGATAAAGTTTCTAAAATTATCGGCCAAATTTCGATTTTCAGTAGTAGGTTTGAAGAAAATTAGTTGATAAAAGATGTAAAAAATGACCAGAACCGTTTTTGGATGAAAAATTAGGTATTGGTTTATTAAAAATTTGTCAAGTCAATGACCAACTTCTCGAATGAAAACAAAATTCAAATTTGATCTTTTGACCTCATTTTGATTTGAAATTTGACTTCAAAATAAAGTTTCTAAAATTCTAGCCCAAATTTGAATTTTCTGGAGTAGGCTCAAAAAAAATTAGTTGACAGAAGTTTAAGTTTTTTGATAAAAATTAAAGTATTAGTATCAATTTATTAAAATCTGTCCAGTTGATCTGAATTTTGGCTGTGTTATCTGGTTAGTGATCTTGTTACTTACAGAGTTCAGTTGTTCCTCATTGAATCCACATAGTAAGAAATAGAACCCCTGAGCAAATCTCTTGAGTCCATTGTCCATCATTACACAATCCATCAGCAACACCTGCCAAAAAGTCACTTGTTGGCAGAAATTCGTGTAAACCAATTACACTGGTGAGGAACTACAAAAACATTAAAAAAATAATTAGAACATTGATGTACGTTGTCTTTGAGTATGAATTATATTTACCTCCAAGTTGAAGACAAACGGTGCCAAAATTCTAACAACTGGACTGTTCATATGGGACATGAAGGCAACTGGTGCCAAAGCTTGCATGGATTTGATCTTTTTGTTATATTCTGGCCTTTCAGAAGCCATCACAAAGAACGATGTTGTTCCTTGAGAGTGACCAACGTAGTTCAATTTGGATTCACCAGTGGATTTTAACACGAAGTCGATCATAGCTGGTAAATCGTACATACCGATTTCGTTCCAACTGAAAAAAAAAATTAGTTATATATTTATATATAAATATTTACATAAATATATATATATACATATATATATATATATATATATATATATATATATATACGAGTATATATAAATAAGTCGGGTTTTCCTTCCTGACGATATGACTCTAGAACGCACGAACCGAATTCGACAATTTTGCATTCGTTGGAAAGGTCTCGGGCTCCGCAAGGTTTATAGCTAAGAAAATTAGTAGTGCATGGCATCGTGTCTTAATGCAAATTGCTAGAACTTCACGCACTGTAATTAAAAATTCGAGTAAGACATTATGTGAGAATTATCAAAATTACGCTTGGTTAAGTCAACGAGCAATTCTTGCCGCAAAGAATAATGATGTACACGCACTGAATTTCACCATTCAATCAAAAATTTCTGGTGATTTGGTGACATACCAATGATTCCGATTAGTCTGCCGTTTGACTTCAAACGATTGCAATTTCCCGTTTGCCTTGCGTTCGCAATAACTAGTCGCAAGGCCAGTCGCTTAGTGTTTGTGGGGTAAATTTCAAATAGATTATTTAGAAAATCATTGTTTTTCACATGGGCAGTTATACGTTGTCTGTTCACAAGTTGGAAAACCATCCGCTTTGTTTGTGTTAACGTCAGACCAAAAAACAGAAAATGTGGTTTACCAAAGAGGACTTCAATGAAACGGATAATTTGCGGATTCACTTTTATTTACCTAGAGAAGTTCAACTAAAAAACACTTCATTTTTGTAATCGAAATAAATTCATTACTGTTGTTTAATAAATTCAAATTTTTCCTTATATATGCCCTTGTATCGTCGGCATGATGGTGTTTAAGTTGTACCTGAATTCCCAGAACTTTCTGGCATCTTTTTCAGGATCCAAAGTTATATGTCTTTTGGAGAATGTGTTGCCTCTTGCATTGCCCATCCACACATCATAACCTTCGTCAGATAAAATAAAACCTGGAACAACATGCATATTATCATCATGTCATGATGATTTAGTATATATTTCCGTTACCTAGGCCTTTTTGTTTGCCCATGACAACCCAATCGGCGGAGCTGCACAAAAGACCATGTTGCAGGAAGACTACGCCTTTTGTTGGTTGACCTTTTGAAGGGCTAAAGGGTATTCTGTGGACTGTTAGGATGTATCCATCTTCGGAGGTCACATTGTAGGTTTCACTTGGGTAGCCTTCGGCTGCAATTATTTTTTCCTAGGGAAAAAATTGAGTTTTTAGAAATATTTTACGTGGAAACTAACCAAAGCAAAATTCACAATATTTCACAATTTTGTAGGACGTGCTAAACAATTAAGAATGTTTAGTCGATCTCTAGGTATCTCCTAAACTATTTAAGAAAACAACGAATCTTGTTTTTTCCATCAATTACTTACCACTGCATTAAGGTCAATTATTGGCTTTGGTTGATACACAGATTTGCTGCTGACAAAAGTTGCAGCAAAGTAAAATGACACCAAAAATATTCCAAGCTTCATTTTTATCACTAAATATCAAAATTTATCGTAACAATATTTCCAATCAAAAATTTGATTGAACGTCTTCAAATCAAAATTTTCACCTTTATATAGAAAAAGATAATTTTTTGCACAGGTGAAAGATAAAAGAGCATAATAATGTTTATTTTATCTCTAATTTTTTTCTGATTGACAGTGATTGATATAATTTTAGTACGACTAATTTGACAATTGAATTTTTTAATTAATGACGAATATCTTGTTATCTTATCTAATCTTATCTTTTATCATCGTGCGAATTCGTGGAGGTCACATTGATATCCGATAATTTTTTTAATTAGTTTTGATCAGGAGCGAATCGATAGATAATTGATAAAATAATTATACACCAAAAATATAAATTATATGATATAAACTATTTATTTTAATTAAGAAAAATCATTCACCAATATATGAGGCAAACTATTTGTATTAAAACACTTGTAGAACTTTAACTAGAGATGATAGAAAAGAATCAAGGTTTTCATTTGATGGTGAATTTGATCTAGTTTTTAAGTTTCTTTAACTAAATTTTAGTATCTTTGTTCTAAAAAAAAGTTGCGCCCTAAAAACTAGAACATATATACAACTTTAATTTTGATAAATTTGGCAACTTTGCAAAATCCAATAAGGAACATTTTTAATCTTAAACATTATATTTCATAATTGTATCAATAACTTTATCATAAAATAATTCTTTGACGTCTTCTCCATAAATAAAATCAGCGTGCGTCCAAAGAGGTATTGGTCCCAAAAAGTTTACGACCAAATTAGGCAGGAGCGATGCCAATTGTTCAGCATCCTAAAATATAAAAAAGCAATACACACAAATATAGATAATTTTATTTTCTATTTACCTCAGGGTCTCCCAAATTATCATTTGGTCCTGTGTAAAAAGCAACTGGTGTCGTAATTTTGGATATATCATATTCAGGTGGTTCTGGAGATCCGTATTGTTTTAGATTGCCTAATTGGCCGTGGTCGTATTGTCTGAACTTTTCTAAAAAAAATGTGTAAACATTTATTTGTTATCAATATCATGTTTGATGTTTACTTACTGGAGGCAATGAGTTGGCCATAATGTAAGAATTGTTTTGTTGACGCTCCAGCTGGTACATTGTTTAGGATTTCTGGTAGCAAAGGCTAAAAATGTAAAGGTATATTGAAAGATTGTCGCAGATTATATCTTAAGATGACAATTTTATCCTTACCGCGTTCAATTGTGAAGGATTGTATCCTATCGCGATAAAATACATGTTGGTACATGCCATTTGCAAAGGATCTTCATCAGCACATAAAAACCTTCCCAACAATGTCTCAAGACCTTTAGACGGCAAGAACTCGAATTGGCCAAATAAATTTGTGACAAGCTGGAAAATTTTGGAACCAATTGTATCAAATACAAGTTATCCTTTAGATTACTCATAATTACTTACCAGTACACCAGATAACGTGGTTGCCAACAGGTTTACAACTAGGTTAGTTACATGACTCATAAATGCGACTGGTGCCAAAGCCTGCATCGATTTTATTTTGGTGTTGTATTCTGGTTTTTCTGAAGCCATCACCCAAAAGGAAGTTGTTCCTTGGGAATGTCCTACATAAGTCAACTTTTGTTCACCAGTTGTATCTAAGATATAGTCTAACATAGCTGGTAGATCTTTAGAACCAATCACGTGCCAGCTGGTAATAGATAGAACAACAATTTACATTGGGTGATGTTGCTAAATTACAAAGTTGTACCTGAAGTTCCAATATTCAGAATCAGTAGCACTGTTGAGTTTCGAATGTCCTCTTGAGTATTTATTGCCTCTGGCGTTGCCCATCCAGACATCAAAACCAATATCGTGTAAAAGAAATCCTAAAACATTCATGACAATTTTAATATAAATACGGTTTTGGTAGGATAAAAATTTACCTAAAGCTTTTTGTGGACCAATGACGACCCAATCTGCAGAACTGGATAACAAACCGTGCATCAAAAAAACTACGCCTTGATATTGCGCCTTGTTTTGGTTAGGAATTCTATGCATCTCCAAAATGTACCCATCTTCAGTTGTCACATGATGAGTTTTGTGAGGATAATCGTATTGTTGTATCAGATCTGTCTAAAATTTGACCACATTAGTTTGTCTATTACCAAGTTGTACCCTTTACCCTTACCGTTGTTTTTTGCTGTATCAGTCCACCCATATGACTGCCTGCAGATTGCTCCATATCCAAATCGTAAACAGCAGATACTAAGAGTTGTGATATATCTGCAAATCCATTATTAAATGGTTGTGTCAATCCTAGCCAGTCTGCAAAACTTGTGAAACTTAAGGACATGTCTTTTGGGATCTCTGTAATGATGGCCAGAGGACTATCATTTCGTGGTAACGTCAGAACTTCAAAGACCTTATTTGAATGGTCTTTGTGGTCATCAGATGTAAGGGATTTTAAGTCTTCAGGGGAAAGTGAACTTGTAGATGGATTGGTATTTGGCTTTGAAATATCACCAAGGTTGTCATCAGGTGTTTCTTGTTGTTCCTGGTCACTGTCATTATTTTTGGTTCCTAAAAGTTGTCCATTATCCAAAATACTACTTTTTATTGCACTAACTTTCATGAAAACCAAAACAACAACCGTCAACTTCATATTGTCACCACCAAATGAATTTTTTCACTGATTTTATTGATTGACAATTAAAGTAAACCGCCTCCAATATTTATTTTTTGCCATCAGACATAGTAACAACTGTGTCAATATGTATATTGGGCAAGTAAGAATAAAAAAATACAAATATCTACAGGTGATGCTTGGTAATTGATAAATTTTTTAAATAAATAATTTTTTAACTAATTTATTTATTTGGAAAATTTACACAAAATGAAATTGTCTATACATTGTATAATGATGTGTAACTTCAAAGCAACTCAATGCACTTTAAAATGTAGAACTTTAGACCTACTTAACTACTTATATTATAATAATTAACTAGTGATGTATGGCATCGTGCCTTAAGGCAAATTGCTGGAACCGCAATGAAATATTCGAGAAATTTTAAACGTTTTCAAATGTATTATTACAAATACTGTAATTTTCATTATTTTTGCTATCTCCAGAACATTAACAATCGTCATTTCATTTCGAATTCAATTTAAAAAAATAGCTGCCTAATTTACACAAAATTGAAAAAGTGCTCCCGTATATAAACAGTCTAAATGCACTTGGGTAAACATTTGTACCAGAGTGGCGCTTAGGCTATGCTTAGGCTGGGTATTTTTTTTAATTTTTAATCCAAAATTACAAAAATATTTTATGGAAAATAAAAAAAGATGTAATAATTTTTTATCCTCAAAAGCAATTGTTTGTTCAATACAAGCAGAAAGTTTTTTAGATCATTCAAATCGAACGCTTAGTTCACTCAGAAACTGCCAATTTTTGCATATTTAGCTCTGTATCTTCGAAATGACGGGACCTGTCATTGCCAAAAACTAATCACCTCTTCTCCCAATCATTACAAATTGAATGTTTTGTAGATCATTCAAATCCGATACTCCGTTCTCTCAAAAAGTCGATTTCTATTTTCTGCACTCGTTGCTCTGTATCTCCATAACGGTTGACCTGCCTTTGCGAAAAACTAATCAACACACCTCCCTATCAATAGGGATCGAATATTTTTTAAATCATTCAAATCGGTTGATCCGTGCGCCCGAAAACGTGGACGAAAAAATGCGGACATAAAAAACACACACACACACATCCATTTTTTTCTAGGTATGCCAAAATGTTCAGAAAACTTCAAAATGTCGAGAAATACAAAAAATTTCGGTTTATGGCCCTACGGGAAGTTAATAATAGACTAATTTCGTGGATGTGCATTTTTTTATTATATCTATTTGTGACCTGTTTAGTACAAAACTAAATAATTTATAATATTTTCCAGCAACATTCTAACATAAAAATCTAATAATAACATTTTAATCCTAAACATTATATTTCATAATTGTATCAATAACTTTATCATAAAGTAATTCTTTGACGTCTTCGCCCCAAATAAAGTCAACGTGCGACCAATTTGGTCCTGGACCCAAAAAGTTTAGAATCACATTAGGCAGCAGCGATGCCAAAATTTCAGCATCCTAATATATAAAACATAAACAATACATATAAGTGAAAATAAGTTCACTGTCTATTTACCTCAGGAGTTCCTGTATTATCATTTGGTCCTATGTACAAAGCAACTGGTGTCGTTATTTTGGATAAATCATAATCAGGAGGTTCAGGAAATCCATAAAGCTCTAAGTTGCCTAATTGTCCGTAGTCGTATTGTCTGAATTTTTCTAAAAAATTGATGATTTGTTTGTATATATCAATAATATCACATTTGGTGTTTACTTACTGGAGACAATTAGTTGGCCATAATGAATCATTTGTTTTGTTGAGGCTCCAGCTGGTACATTGTTTAAGATTTCTGGTATCAAAGTCTGAAAGATTGATGAATATTATTTATTATTATTGATTGCGGCTAAATCGTGGATAAATATGTAAATAAATAAATAAAAGATTCGCTTAAGATTTGGACAGATTGGCACAGATTACAACTTGCAATTTGCTGATGTGATGTCATTGTCAATAAATTGTGATGAAAACAAATATTGGCGAGTCGTACTGATCAGATAGTCTGATTTTATTCGATTGAGTTATAATTGTAGAGCAAGGGCCAGAAAAACAATTCTAAATTTTTTTACAATAGGACGTCAACTTTCTTAAAATCGTTAATTTTAGTTTTTTTACCCTTACCGCGTTCAATTGCGAAGGATTGTATCCAAATGCAATAAAATATATATTGCTGCATGCTATTTGCACAGGATCCTCATCATTGCATAAAAGTCGACCAAACAATGTCTCAAAACCCTTAGATGGCATAAACTCGAACTGGCCTAATAAATTTGTCAGCAGCTGGAAAACAATTGGAATCAAATGGATTAACTATAAATTACCAATTACTGTTAATGCTTACCAGTCCACCTGATAACAAAGGCATCATTAAGTTAAGAATTAGATTAGTTGTATGACTCATGAAAGCCACTGGTCCCAAAGCATGTATTGATTTAATTTTGGTGTTGTATTCTGGTTTTTCTGATGCCATCACCCAAAAGGCAGTATTTCCTTGGGAATGTCCAATATAAGTCAACTTTTGTTCACCAGTTGTGAGTAGAATATAGTCTATCAATGCTGGTAGATCTTTGATGCCAATTTCGTGCCAACTGGTAATAGATAGAATAAAAATTCACATTGCATGATGTTGTTAAATCATAAAGTTGTACCTGAAGTCCCAATATTCAGAATCAGTGGCACTGTTGAGTTCCAAATGTCCTCTTGAGTATTTGTTGCCTCTGGCATTGCCCATCCAGACATCAAAACCAATATCGTGTAAAAGAAATGCTAAAACATCACGACAATTTTAATACAAATACGGTTTTGTTAACCCTTCTTTGCATGATTTTTTCTATTTTAATAAAATAAATCAGGGTGATGTAATTAATGCTCTAGATTGAAGGAAAAATATTTAAAAAAATCCTTATGTAAAAAGAAGTATGTATTATGTAAAAAACAATATTATGGTAATTTACATCATCATGCATTGTCACATATCTAGCTCAGAACTATATAAAATATATTGTTTACTCAATCTTCTTTACTCTTTATAATAATTCAAAAAACAATCAATATTTTTATTTAAGCACAAATTGATACCACATTTACAGAATTTTGGCCCATTGCAAGCAGACTCTTTTTACGTTCACCTCTTTTTTGAGCATTTTTTATAAACATTCTAAGAGTTTATAATAACTCGATCAAATAGATAAAAAAATGTGCAAATACCACTATTTAAACCTTTTTGTTGTATGATTTCTGCCCAAAAAGCTATCAATGAGATCTAATCCCACCATATGTTTATTATTCGAACTTTGGCGACCAGTATAATCTTGTGCTAGGAATTTTGATTATTGACATGTAGAATAATATACCAAAGAAACTAGCTGTAAGTGGAATTCTGTCTTAAGGCATCGTGCCTCAAGGCAAATTGCTGGAACTTCCCGTACCAAAAATTATTATTTTTTTGAAAAAAATTTACTTCGAAAAAATAAGATTTTTGACAAACAATTAGACAAAAAATTACTTTTTTTTGAAAAAGAAAAAATTTTTTTTAATTTTTTTTTAACTTCCCGTAGGGCAAGTTATAGTAATCGCAAAAAAATCGAAAATGAAAATGTTTATATATCTTTACGTTTCAGAGGTTTCTGAACATTTTGGCATACCTTAGAAAAAATGGATGTATGTGTGTGTGTGTGTGTGTGTGTGTGTATGTATGTATGTATGTATGTATGTATGTATGTATGTATGTATGTGCGTGTGTGTATGTATGTGCGGATACAAATTTTCGTCGACGATTTCGGGAACACGGATCAACCGATTTGAATAATTCAAAAAACATTCGATTCGTATTAATAAGGAGACGTGCTGATTAGTTTTTGGCGAAAGCAGGTCTAGCCGTTCCAAAGATACGGGGCAAAAAGTGCCGAAAACGGTAACTCAGTTTTTAAGAGAACGGAGCGTCCGATTTGAATATTTCAAAAAACATTTTACTTGTATTGACAAGATAAAGAATTGATCAAATTTTCATGAAGGCAGGTCTAACGGTTTCGGAGATCTGATGAAAAAAGTAAAAAAAAATGCCATTTGGCGGTCAAAAATGATCATTAGACATATGCACATCAAATTATCAAATATTTTATAGAGATTTTAACAATAAGTATAAATTTTTTTTACATTTCTATGGGTTCCGTACCAATGTTTACGCGTTAGACGGCGACGCGGCGCTTACGGGCTTTGATATTTCGCCTTTATGCAGTTAAAGCAGTACGATTGCTCTGAAAAAAAGTTTAGATCTTCCAAAATATGTCAAAATAAAATAAAACATTTTTTTTTAAAAAAAAAAAATAAAAAAATTTTTTTTTTTTCAAAAAAAAGTAATTTTTTGTCCAATATATAGTTTCTCAAAAATCTTATTTTTTCAAAGTAAATTTTTTTCAAAAATCTTAATCGTTTTTAAAAAAAAAATTTTGGTACGGGAAGTTCCAGCAATTTGCCTTAAGGCACGATGCCTTAATTGCCTTAAGACAGAATTCCACTTACAGCTAGTTTTAATTTTTTTTTTTGAAAAAAAATGTTTTCTTTATTTTGACATATTTTGAAAGATCTAAACTTTTTTTCAAAGCAATCGTACTGCTTTAACTGCACAAAGACGAAATATCAAACCGCGTAAGCGCCGCGTCGACGTCTAACGCGTAAACATTGGTACGGAACCCATAGGAATGTAAGCCAAAATTATACTTATTGTTAAAATCTCTATAAAATATCTCATAATTTGATGTGCATATGTCTAATGATCATTTTTGACCGCCAAATGGCATTTTTTTTTACTTTTTTCATTAGATCTCCGAGACCGCTGGACCTGCCTTTATGAAAATTTGATCGGTTCTTCACCTTATCAATACAAGTAAAATGTTTTTTGAATTATTAAAATCGGACGCTCCGTTCTCTTAAAAACTGAGTTACCGTTTTCGGCACTTTTTGCCCCGTATCTTCGAAACGGCTAGACCTGACTTCGCCAAAAACTAATCAGCACGTCTCCTTATCAATACGAATCGAATGTTTTTTGAATTATTCAAATCGGTTGATCCGTGTTCCCGAAATCGTCGACGAAAATTTGTATCCGCACATACATACACACATACATACATACATACATACATACATACATACATACATACATACATACATACATACATACATACATACACACACACACACACACACACATACATCCATTTTTTCTAAGGTATGCCAAAATATTCAGAAACCTCTAAAACGTAAAGATATATAAAAATTTTCATTTTCGATTTTTTTGCGATTACTATAACTTACCCTACGGGAAGTTAATTATACAAATCATAATCTGCTTCTTCAAAAAACAACACAAAAAAAACATTTACAAAAAAATCTTTGCCATACATTACAAGTGGTACTACTGCATAGTGATGTAAATTTCCATCAAACAAATTTACAGTACAAGGGTTTTAAGAACTTTTTTGTTGACTAAATATTATAATTGAAATTTTCATCGCCATGCAAAGAAGGGTTAAGATGAAAATTTACCTAAAGCTTTTTGTGGACCAATAACGACAAAATCTGCAGAACTCGATAACAAACCGTGCATCAAAAAAACTACACCTTGATATCGCACGATATTGTTTTGGTAAGGAATTCTATGCATCTCCAAAATATAACCATCTTCAGTTGTCACATGATGAGTTTCATGAGGATATTCGTATTGTTGTATCAGATCTGTCTAAAATTTAACCAAATTAGTTTGTCTATTGACAAGTTGTATCCTTTACCCTTACCGTTGTTTTTTGCTGTATCAAGCCAGCCATATGACTCCCTGCAGATTGCTCCATATCTAAATCGTAAACAGCAGATACTAGGAGTTGTGATATATCTGCAAATCCATTATCAAATGGTTGTGTCAATCCCATCCAATTTGCAAAACTTGTTAAACCTAAGGTGAGGTCTCTTGGAATTTCTCCTATTGTGGCCAAAGGACTGTCTTGTGATGGTTCCATCAGGATATCGAGGATCAGATTTGATTGGTCCTCGCCATCAGCTGTAATTGAACTCGTAGATGGATTTAAAATTTGACCAACGTTGTCATTAAGTGTTTTTTGTTGATCTTGGTCACTGTCTTGATTTATGGCTCCTAAAAGTTGTCTATCATCCAAAATACTGCATTTTATTGCACCAACTACTATAAAAACCAAAACAGCAACCGTCAATTTCATATTGACAGCACCAAATAAATTTTTCACTGATCTTGTTGATCAACAATTGAAGTAAACCGCTTCTAATATTTATTCATGACAACAACTGTGTCAATATATACATGAGTATATATATATATATATATATATATATATATATATATAAAATTAAACAAATATAAATGGAAAAATACAAATATCTACTGTTGGTGCTCGATCACATTTTCTTGAACAAACAATCTTCCAAATTTATCAATCTGGACGTGAGAGTATTTAAAATAAAATTTTAACGTTGATAAAATTTTGTATTATACAATCGGTATTACTTAATTTCTGCATAATTTGGAATTATTTTAAATATTTATACCAGTGGCGTAGATAAATAAAATTCTTTATATAAAATGATTATGTGAGGACTGATATAAAGATTCAATTAGATACCTATTAAACTTTTCATGCAACGATTATTTTAATCTAACGAATATTTTGTGAATCTACAATTCATCATTTTTGGTATAAATATTGTTTATATTTATATTTTTATACTTTTTATTATAAATGTCTACCAGAGCCTGTACTATTCAATTATATTTGCAGCGTTTTATTTAATTTGTGTATTTGTTTATCGTATCTCTTGTAACTTTTAAACAATTTATCCAAACAATATGGCGTATTTAGGAGATTTGTTCAGAATTAAATTGTTTATAATGTTGTTTGATATCATTATGCCCTACGGCAACTTGGTATACTTTAAAATACAAAAATATGAACCCATATTAAATGAGTTAACTACTTATTTATTGGAAGTGCTTTTGTTTACTATTTCTCTTGTAACTTTTAAACTGTTGCTTTGATATAAATGAAACTTTTGGCGAAAGTAAATAAATAAATATATGAATTTATTTAATAAATTAATTATATTTTTCGATATTTTCAACAACTCTGTCATACAACAATTTTTTAACATTAACAGCCCACAAAAAGTCCACGTGGTTCCATCGATCGTGCGGAACTCGATATACTTCCAAAACATTTGGCAACTCTTTGGATAAGTTTGACGTCCTAAAAACGGAAATAAAATTTGTAAAAAACTTTTATTTATTTATTCTGATATTTATAACAGCCCACGGTGCTATTTTTTTGGCAGAAATAGTAATAGTGCAAATAATATACAGCGACAAATTAATTGTGCAATATTTTTTTGTATCGTTTGTAGATCTTAAACTATGCGGTATATATAAATGATGTGTATGAGAAATTTGTACAAAATTAAATTATTTATAATGTTTTCTAATAACAAACAACTCTACAATAACACAGAATATTTTAAAATCTATAATGAATGTTAAAATGCAATCCTAACGCTCTGCCAAAATGCATTACTTTCACGTATGGCGAGTAGACTATTTATAGGTGCAATCTCCTGTAACTTTTAAACTGATTGAAAATATTGCAAAGTGAATAAAATATTAGGCAAATTTATACAAAACTAAATTATCTACAAAGTTTTCTAACACTATAGCGTTCTATAGCTAGGTATACTTTAGAATAGCCATTGAAAACAAACATTAATCTCAACTTCATTCAAATGCACTTATCCTTTAAATCGTTTATAAATTTTAAACCACTTGTTTAATATGGATGATGTGTGAAGCAAATTTGTTTAAAATTAAATTATCAACAACTTTGCCTAACAACATAAGCCTTACAGCAACTCGATATACTTTAAAATTGCATTTTAAAGTGATACTTGTACAAGAATATGTAATTGTTTTTATTACCTGTGGTGTTGCCAGATTGTCCATGTCTCCATAATAGAGGGCAACAGGGCAACTTATTTGGGCCAAATCGTAGTTTGGTGGCACTAGAGAATTGTACAAGTCTTTGTTGTCCAAAACGCCGTGATCGTATTTTGCAAATCTTTCTGGAAAACACAAAAAATGATAACCAGAAATCAAGAAAATTGGTAACCAGAGATAGGAAAAGTGGCAACCAGAAATTAGGAAAATTGGTAACCAAAAAATTTAAAAAGTAGCAAAAAGAAATTTACAGCCAGCAAATAGAAATATTGGTCATTAAAAACAAGGAAATTGTCTGCGAAAAACAAGGAAAAATGGTAACCAGAAACAAGTGATGGTGACAACGAAAAGGTTTAAAAATAGGTATAAAAAAATTGATAACCATAAATAAGAAAACTCAGGAATATGAAAAGGTGACAGCCAGAAATATAAAAATTGGCAACCAGAAATAATGAAAATTAGCAATTATAAAAATTAAAAATTGGTAAGCAGAACTATTGGCATTCAGATATTTATTTATTATGGTGATAGATGAGAGTAAAGATGTCCTAAGGGTAATGGATAGAAGCAAAAATATCCGAAAGGTGATGAATAGATGCAAAATATCCAAATAGTGACAGATAAATTAAATGAATTTTCTAATTACTATTGCTTACTATTTCTGATCAACTGCGCATAATGTATAAACTGTCTACTAGAAGCACCTGCCGGAATGTTGTTCATTATATCAGGAATCAGTGTCTAAAATCCGAAAACATCAATTTTTATTTCAAATTTTGGGTTCAATGTACTCTAAAATCTTTACCCTATTCACGTTCCATGGGTCGAACCCAAAAGCTGCTAAATATAGCTTTACACAAACACCTCTTATAGCATTTTCGTCCGAGCACAAAAAGTTACTTATTTTTGTCAGATCGTCGTTTGCTGGAAAACATTTCTCGGGGACCGTATTCTTGTCCAGGTTCTAAAAATAGAC